GGGGGGGGGGGGGGAGGGTAGGAGTAGGAGTGGAATGGAGGTTTATTCATCCAATTCAATCTGTATATTTATGTATCTATCTATCTTTCCCTCGTTCAATTTGAATAAATGAAATAAATAAATTGCTCTGGCTTTTAAGATTTAGAAGAAAAATTCAAACATTCCTCATATTTTTTTTCCATATTTTTAATCATTTTTAAGAAGACATTTCTGGGTTGAAAATCTACCTGTACAAAGAAATTCTATACTGAGATTTAAAGTTTCTTATCCTTCTTGAAAAAAAGCGCCACCAAAAAAAGGGAAATAATTGACGACTTTCAATAGTTCATTTGTGAGTCTCAAAAATACTAGAAACTCTCAAAGTATCACATTTTCTAATCCTGATATTTCCTAAATGTGGGCTGCCATACTTTTTCAAATTTATAAAGATAATTCAAACGTTATCTTTTTTTAAGACTTGAATTTTGAAGCTTTTCATTTTTAGCTTTAAATTTTCAGATGCGGTTTTATAATTTGATTTAGAACTCTGATGCCACAAAATTTGTCAACTTAAACTGAATTATAGTTGAATAAAGGAGTTGTTAGTAAACTAACATAATTATGTTGTTAAGGGTGCGTCATCTCCTGATCCCAACACAGTCTATGTTGACCTACGCGCTCTCCGACATGATCGAGTGACCCTGGTGGAGCGCGGAGCTCCCCACTCCTTACCTCTGATGGAGAGTGGTAAACTACTACCTGGAGTAAACCTTGTTATAGCAGACCCAGATACTAAAGGTCAATGTGGAGATTCAAACCTAGGAGAGGTAAAATATTTGATCCAACCAACTCAATCAACTAATATTTAATGAATCTTCCTAAATGCATTTTTTTACTGCCAACATTCTTTTTCTTCCTAATTTGTCTGGAATAGACAAGCTCTCTTTAGGAGTACTCTTCGGACACTACACCAACTTAGTACAATAAATAGTACATATCTGCTCTTGGTAATTCAAAATGCCTTTATGTACACAGCTATCCCATCCAGATGAATTCAGATGAATTTTATATATTTATTTTATTTACTAGATCTGGGTGGAGTGCCCGCATAACTCTACTGGATATTTTACAATTTACGGAGAGGACGGAACCTACTCAGATCATTTCGCAGCAAGGTCTGTAATTTTTATGCTTTTTAATCTATTTTTGAAAATTTATTATTCTTTTTCTCTTTTCTTCTACTGCAATTGGTTGTTATACTACTTGATTGTCCTCTGGGGAAAATTGAGTAAATTAAGATTCCGTTATGTTCATTTTTGTTAAGTTTGCGGATTTCTTGTATCATAAAGGAAATTTTTTCATATTGGGTGTCCCAATTATATTGGTTTATCTCCAAGCTGTAACGCCTAATACACTATACTAAAAAAACTTAAATTTTTTTCAATGATTCATTCTTTTAAAATTTTCTGATAAGCCCCAAAAATCGCAATTTAAAGCTATTCACGAACCAATATGATGGACATCAAGTAATTGAATTGAAAATTTTAAAAGATACTTATTTTAAGGAAAATATTGAAAACTTTTAATTTTCCCAATTTGTGAAAATATATAATCTACCCGAAGCTGGTTCTGTGTTGACTGTTCAGTGAAGTAAACTGCTGAGATAAAACTAAAGTTTAAGTTTCTAGTTTCAGTTCAACTGTATATAAGTTGGTCACTAACTTAACCATAATATATAAATTAGAAGAAATCCTTTTATTTGCTACACTTTATTCTCGTAACTTAATTATAGAATTAAGTTTTGGTCCATCATTTTTTCTCTTTTACAATTAATTAAATTTTTTATTTCAATTATTACAGAATTTACGTGATTAAATTCAGATATGTTGCATTTACAGGAGTTAGTGTTATTAAGCGACTAGTGTTATTAAGCGACTAACTATCAAATCAAATGAAATATTATTTATTTACGCAGAAACATCATATTATATTAAGTAAATCATTATTACAAGGGGTAGATTAATTGATTCATGTTCTGCGTCCGAAGAACTACTATGTAGCTGTACCTGTTTTCATATCAACTCCCCAGTTGTTCGGAAAAAAGGAGAAGACAAACATAGATACGGTGTTGACTAGTCCACATCAATCCAGTCATATATATGGTTCATTCATTGTTCATATATCAGGTTGAGTACTGGGAGTAACACTCTTCAAACCTATGCTCGGACGGGATATCTTGGGTTTCTCAGAAGAACAGAGGCTATTGGATGCGATGGAGGTGGGATTTTTCATTTAAAAATATGTCATTCATTCGTTTAAAATTAAAACTTAACAAAAAAGTCTCATTTATTTTTTTGGGTAATTTTATTACTTTTTACAGTAAACAAATTATATTCTATTTTTTGTTTTTTACCAAATAAATAAATATTTAGTCTGGACTTTTTTTAGTTCACTCCCTTTAGATCCTTTTTAATTTGGAACTCATAGATTTTGCAAAATTGTCAAATTTTCAAATTAATTTCTCCTGGATACACCTGGGAGAACATATTTAATATCCACACTCTCTCCAAAGTTTAATAATAAAATTTTGCAAATTTAGAGCATCATGATGCAGTATTCGTGGTTGGGGGTCTAGACGAGACCCTGATACTGCGGGGTATGCGGTATCATCCGATAGATATTGAAAACTCGGTTCTCCGCTCACACAAGAAGATTGCAGAATGGTAATATTTTATTCAATTAGAAACATTACTTGCAGAAAAAAGGACATCATATATTAATGATAAATAATTTCAACATTTAGCTGGATAAATTGGTTTTTAAAATGTTAGCCAGGGGAAAACAGCAATGCAGAGGGGAATTATTTCATTGGACATTTCCCCCCTATTTAAATACATCTTTTTCGTTCTTATTGAAGTTTTGTGTGTAAGGATTTTCTCACTAGACTAATAAAAATATAGAATTTTTAGGTAAAAACTATCAAAAATAAAGTTGACGTCTAACTTTTAAAAAATCATTTAAAAAATTTCATTTAACCTCTGAGATGCATTTAGTTTTAATTATGATTTTAATTATTCTAATTTCTAGAAAAGATTTTAGTATAATTAATTTGGCGAAATCATCAAATTATTATTTCATGGTAAATGAAATAAATATTTTTCCACTTCGTATCAAATCTGTGTACTGAATTCTAGAACTGTTCAATCCGTGTACTGTATTCTAGTGTTGTACAAGATGTTAACTCCTTATTCTAGTACTGTACATGATGTTCAATCCGTGAACTGTATTTTAGTGCTGTACAAGATGTTTACTCCGTGTGCTGTATTCTAGTATTGTACAAGATGTTTACTCTGTGTACTGTGTTCTAGAACTGTACAAGATGTTTACTCCGTATTCTAGTACTGTACATGAATTTTAATTCGTGTACTGTATTCTAGTGCTGTGTTTACTTGGACGAATCTGCTTGTTGTTGTTGCGGAGCTGGACGGAGGAGAAAACGAGGCCCTTGACCTTGTTCCACTAGTCACTAATATAGTCCTAGAGGTAAGTTATGGAGTTGGTGGAGTACTAGAGGTTAATCATGGAGTAGTTGGAGTACTAGAGGATGGTCTGAAATTTAGTGGAGTACTAGAGGTAGGTCAGGGAGTAGGTGAAGTATTAGGGGTAGGTCAGAGAGTAGGTGGAGTACTAGAGGTAGGTCAGGGAGTAGGTGGAGTACTATAGTTAGGTCAGGGAGTAGGAAAAGTACAAGAGGTAGATCAGGGATTAGGTGGAATACTAGAGGATGGTTAGGGAGTAAGTGGAGTACTAGAGGTAGGTAAGGGAGTAGGTGGACTGCCAGAGGTAGGTCAGGGAGTAGGTGGACTGCCAGAGGTAGGCCAGGGAGTAGGTGGGTTGCCAGAGGTAGGTTAGGAGATAGTTTGAGTTCCAGAAGGAGCACTTCAGATATTTGAAGCCTTTTAGTTTCTTAAAAATTAATAGATTTATTACAATATGGGTTTTAAATTTAAATATATCGTTTTCAATTCTTTGATTGGTTTCTCTTGTACTTGATCATATTTTAACACTTATTCACTTAAACTTAAAATTTCAAATCCTTGCATTATTAAAGTTATTTAAAAATGTTCTCTTTTTTCTATTTTTGTGTAAATATTAAATTTTGGTTAGGATCATCAGCTGATTGTCGGGATTGTTGTCATCGCGGATCCTGGAACCGTTCCTATCAATTCCAGGTCTGTATTGGCGTCTATGGATTTTCAGCAATCCTTCTCTAAACTATTTCATGGATTTTTAGCTTTTTTCATTTTTTTCTCTCATATTTGTTTTTTTTTCATGTGGGTTAATTCTCTTCTTGCTTCATTTTCTTAAGGTTTGATTTTTTAAAGGATTATTCTCTTCAGGAGTTATTTTCTCTAATTTTCTTTCAAGGTTTTACTTTTCTCCGGTATTTATTTTCGAAAAGTTATTATTGCGAGGGTTAAACTTGTCTGAAACTTATCTTTAGAATTCTTGTTTCTAGGATTAGAATTTAATATCTTATGTTCTGTTAGCTACAAGGGTATAAATTCCCCCCCCCCAAAAAAAAGAAAAAATAGTCTTTGCATTAGAACATTTGTTTACAGTTTAAGTTATTATGATAATTTTGATGATTTGCGTGGACAATTATAATATAAAATATAATTACCCCTGTCAAGTTAAAACTAATTCTCTTGTTGTTTCAATTTTCACTGAATTAGATTTTCCTGTTCTTAAGTTTTAAATATTTTATTTTATTTTTTTCAGAGGTGAGAAACAGAGAATGCATCTAAGAGACGGTTTCCTGGCGGATCAATTAGATCCTATTTACGTGGCATACAACATGTAGATCCTTTTTAAAGCACAGATGAGCCCTTAGACCCCCCCCTAAATGAGTGAGGGGGGGAGGAAATAGTATATTCTGTCTTTAGTTCAACCAGAATACAAAATCCACCCCAAACATTTGAATCCCATTTTGGTTCTATTGAGTTCATAAACAAACTTAATCCTGAGTTCTGTTAACCCTGCTTGTAGAACAGTTAACCTAACCTATGGGGGTTAGAGAAATATTTCGCAAAAAAAATCAAAATTTATGTAACGTTTAGCTAGAGAATGGATGGGAATGAAGTGTCAGATAAGCATGATTGAAATTTTAACCCATCCTCCCCCCTCCCTCCCAGGGGTATTTACCTCTTCCCCTGTCTGGAAAGGTCTTCGATTCCTGTATTACATTTGTTATGTTATTATTATAAATTTGTTTAATGTCCTTATCCAGCATTTCATCATTGTTTTATTATTGTGTTTTTTTTATTTCTTCTTCGTCGCCTTTTCCTTAATTTTGTGTTCCTTCCATTGTGTTCAATAATTCTTCTCCTTTATTATGTTTCGTTCCTTTTTTCCTTTTTTATATCACTTTTTTCCTTTTTTATATCACTTTTTTCTCTTCTATTCATCATCTTCTTTCCTTGATTAGTCCTCTTTAATAAAGATTGTTTGAATCCCACCTAGAAATCGAATTGACCAAAAAAAAGTATTCTTGTGTTTATATGTTTAAATGTAGATTTAATTCAATTGCTGAGTCAAAGTATAAGAATATTATTAGTTAATAACATAATTCCTTGTTCTTATTTATATTCAATAAATTTAATCATATTTCAAAAAAATAGTTTTTTATTATTTATTAAGTTAGGTATAAGAGAGCTATACACTGCGGAAAAACACTAACTTTATCTTCGGAATATATTAATATCCAGTCTACTCAGTTATAATCTCAATTTTCATAAAATGACCCCTTATTTTTTTACCTTAAATTGCAGGGTCCCCAAATTTTGTGGCTTTTTAACAGTCATAAGACATGTTGTAGCAAAAAAAGCCCTAGGTGAACTTAATTACTGCCTGAGTAGTGTACGGCCTAAGAAAAGCCCTAGGTGAACTTAATTACTGCCTGAGTAGTGTACGGCCTAAGAAAAGTCTTGTAGAAGTGATATCAGACAAAATTTAACCTTCAGTGCAAATATTTTTTAGGATAAAAAATCTTAAAATATTTACCAAGCATCAAACGGCCTTTTCTCTTCAAATTGAAAAAAATTTGAGCTGAGACCTATATTAATTTTTCATAGAAATACATTGCATAAGCATCCGCGATTATTTTAAGAAAGATATCATTATCTATCATTGCGATGAGGCCCGAAGCAGTTAATGTTACCAGAAGTGGGGAAATTAATCTCGCAGTGAGAACTTGTTGGTAGTTATTCTACAGAGATCGCACTTCCAATTGTTAAGAAAATATGTTTCCAAATCAAAAAAGGATAGAAATAAAATTGTACCAATAGACTTAAAAGTCTAACCCTAATTTTCGACTCCTTTAAGACTTCAGGACCCTTCTACTCCGATACCAGTATAGGACTTTGGGGTTAAATATACAACCTTCTACTCCGATACCAGTATAGGACTTTGGGGTTAAATATACAACCTTCTTATCCGATACCAGTATAGGACTTTGGGGTTAAATATACAACCTTCTTATCCGATACCAGTATAGGACATTGGGGTTAAATATACAACCTTCCACTCCGATACCAGTATAGAACATTGGGGTTAAATATAAAACCTTCTACTCCGATACCAGTATAGGACATTGGGGTTAAATATACAACCTTCTACTCCGATACCAGTATAGGACATTGGGGTTAAATATACAAATTCTGAACTATATAGAATAAATTCTTTCAATATTCCACCAAATCCGGCGAATTTCATTATTTTCAATAGATTTCAGATTTATGTTTCTAATTCAGTTTTATCTTCTTCTTTAAATATTTCAGACTTCATGCCTTCAAATCATTTTCTTTTTTCTAATCCTTAATCTTTAAATGTTATTAGATAAATAGATAGGGTTACCCACAAAGGATGAGACTGTAAAGACTACCTCCAATGCTCTAAAAATATAACGATTCCAAGGTTTTATTAAGTCCTCCGTAATGAATTTAGTTCTTTGATGGTTTATTTAATGATTTGGCAAAGAAAGAAACAAGTTTGCAGTTGCAGGGAAAGTATAAATTCCGTACAGTCGTCTCTGAAGTCTTATCCTTTGTGGTTAACCCTGTAGTTCAAGGGAATGGGTTGTGGGTTTATAAAGATTCAGGGGCGGATTCATATGCTTTTCTCCCTCCGTAGACTTTTGGGGGAGCTACAGAAAAAGGAGAAAAAAATCTGAAATTCAAAATAGTTACTATGCGTACTCTAAATTAATGTTTTTTCTTACTCTCTAAGCGCCCCNAAGCAAGATGAAAAAATTTCAGCGGCGACATAAGTTTAATTCTACAACAACTCCTTAAAAAATTCCCGCATCCGCCCCTCACTTTACTTCTTTAGTTCTGCACGCCTGTTCTGTTGCTTTAAACACGCTGGGTCATACCCATACTGGGTACTCGAGACGATTTGGTACGAGTTTGTGCTTGTAAATATGATAGATTTTCAGAGCAGAGGGTTACCCACAAAGGATGAGACTTCTGAGATGACTGTACGTAATTGTAAGTTTCCTTATATTCATGATTCACTTCAATTTCAAGACTTAATTCTAACTTGGGATAGTCGTATTTGAAGAGTTGAACGTCGTCATTACAGTCTCGTCCTTTGTGGGTATCATTGTAAATACATGGTGTCCCATCCAACTTAAGAAGTATATGATGACTTTTAAGTATAAAAATGATCTTGACATCCCATGTTTAAACCCCCGGATCATATTACAAATATCAAGGTCCTTTGTCGTACTTTTTCTTGAAAAACTCCGCAATCCCAGCTTCTATCTGAGAATAATTTTTTTTAGAGATCCGTTTTTTTAAATGAATTGTTCGAACCTCTTTCTTTCATCTCGTGTAAATAAAAATTATGTTTACAATTCCACCGTTGGAAACCTTTGAAAACTCATATTGTTGATAAGAGTTTTCAAAGCAAACCCATAATGTAAAATTTTACATCATATTTTCTTGTTGCAGGGTTCAAACCAAATATACAGTGTTACTCACAAAGGATGAAACTTCAGAGACGATTTACAGAATCTATACTGTCCATTAATACGATTCTCTGCATCTGTAAACTTGTTTTACTTTTTGTAAAATCATTAAATAAGCAATTAAATAATTTTTTTCAAGACATAAGACTTCATTAATTTTTAAAATTATTATATTTAATGAGTTTTCGGTTGTCTTAGCAGTCTCATTCTTTGTGGGTAACCCTGTATGTATGACTTTACTTATGACATAAAAATTTAGGCTGAATTAGATTAATGATGGGGGCGGGGGCTTCATAAGTATACAGTATACAGCTACAAGTAACTGTACACTGTAATAAATTTTCATCCAGTGTTTTATAACTCTGCAGGCGCGCAAATAAGGGAGGGCAAGAAGTCCTTTTCAGGCAGGGGTCCATATAGTTCCAAAAATTGCTGTTTTTCTGGAAAATTTGAAAAAAATATGCCCCTACAGTAATTTCTTTTTTCAAACCTACACTCTTTAAGCAAACTCAAATTTCACTTTAACATTATCAATATAAGCTCAGATTCTTTTATTTTTGCCCCCTTTCTTTAAAAAATGCCCCCAAAATTTGCCCCAAACTGAATGAATGGCCCCAAATATAAAAATTTTTACATAATTTTAGAAAAATATTGTTTAAATCTACATAATTTTAGAAAATAATTAGATCTACATAATTTTAGAAAAGTAATGTTTAAATCTACATTATTTTAGAAAAAATAATGTTTAAATCTTCTACTCACCAGATTATTTAGTTGAGTCTACTCACCAGTTTATTTAGTTGGGTCTACTGACCAGTTTATTTAGTTGGGTCTACTCACCAGTTTATTTAGTTGGGTCTACTCACCGAACTCACCAGCTCTTTGACCGCCCATACAAGAGATGTAGTTGAACTAGGTTATAGATATCACTGGTCAACTACTTTTTAAGATATCATCGGTTGAAAAAAACTTGTCAGAATCATACGTTACATATTTGAGTTTGAAACGATAGTAAATCGCGTTTTAAATCAACCAAGTGGTTGATTCCGATATAAATAAACCAAGTGGTTGATCCCGATATAAATCAACCAAGTGGTTGATCCCGATATAAATCAGCCAAGTGGTTGATCCCGATGTAAATCAACCAAGTGGTTGATCCCGATATAAATCAACCAAGTGGTTAATCCCAATATAAATCAACCAAGTGGTTGATCCCGATATAAATCAACCAAGTGGTTGATCCCGATATAAATCAAAAAAAAATTAATTTAGTCCAAAAATGTTGGTTTATATTTAATTTAAATTTTTTGTTACGCATGGAAAATTGATCTTACCTGTTGAACAAGTATAACATAAAATAATTGATTTATTTCTTCAAAATGTTATTAAACAGTATACACCTGTTTTGAAAAAATGTTCGCAAAAACGAGTTTGTCACCATTAAACAAAATCTATTATAAAATCAGCTTAGCCTTTTTCATTATTTAAACTCCAAAATAAATCTAATCTTTGGATTGTTAAATGTAAAAATAATTGACAACTTTTAAGATAAAAGAAAATAATAAAGTGTGGATTAAAAACTAATAAAATCTTAGATAATTGTATGTTCACCAACTGTAATGCAATATTGTACCAAGGGCTATACTTGATATTTACAATAAGTCCTAAATAAGTTTCTGTGTGTAATTTATATTTTATAGAGCCTGTACTAACCTTTAATATATATTTAATATTTTATAGTACTAAGGACCATTACACAGTAAAAGCCTCGATACCTCTTTCAATTTTGAGAGATTGTACACGGTTTAAACATATATGTATGTACAGTGAACACTTGGTATAGATTGTACAGTTGTAGTTACTTTGGACACTGAACACTGTACAGATTTACTTTGTACACCTGGCCTACCTTTACGGATTTTGATTATTCTTTTCATTTATTTGTTTAAATTTTAGGCTAATTTGTTTTATTTTTTATTTAGCTAACCCTATTTTTTTAACTCCTTTACTCTGTGTAGTCTGTTATGACTGTTATTTTTTTATATTTTTCCAAGAAAATTCTTAATTTCGCCTAAAGTCGAAATTATATTTAGGAAAGAATTTGTGAAAAAATGATGATATTTCACGGATCATTAATTTGACATATTTGTATATTTTGAACAATGTTAAACATAAATTATTAATACATATATACTATATAGCTGAACAGTGTACCCCTTCCACTGTAATCTTGCCAGGCTACATTTGCTGTACAACACTTGCTGGGTCGACTCTAAACTGAATATTACGACTGAATGCTTATACACTAATACAGTACATGTTGTACCAGCTCGGTACCAGTCAAGTACCAGTACAAACATCGGACACAAGAAGCATCGGACGGTACAAACCAAAGACTTACAAACGTCGGACAGTACAAACGTTGGACACTAAAAACATCGGACTGGTACAAACGTCGGACAGTACCAACGTCTTACCAGTACAAACGTTGGACCAGCACAAACGTCGGACTAAGAAAAAATGTATTCGAATTTTAAGATTTTTTTATCAAAAGGTATTTCCTTTTATCGAATGGTCTAATTAAAATCTACCCAAAGGAACCGAGTTCTTGCCACTAACTCTAATATGTTCAGCCCTATATCTTTGCAG